GATTGATTTTAATATGTCTTCACACCTCGATCAATGTAGCAATATTCTAGTTTTGTTATTCTTGCATGCCAACTGAAGCTGAACACAACTTCAGTTTGTCTGTAGTCACCGCCCTGTAAACCCACTTATTATCGGGCAGTTTCTCCGTGGTTGCCTTGTCCCTCAATGTCTTGGCTTCCTTCGACTCTTGTCTACTAGTCTTTGAAGGATTGTTCCTCACTTGAACATCCTCAGCAAGCCCCTACTTCGACCCTTCTCTTAAGATGGTTTCTGAAGCCATGTTCTCTACACGAACATGCTCGACAAACTCCTTGGACACAGACAACTCTTCTTGCACTTGGCTTATACTTGCCTTGGCAGAAATGAACCTTATTGAGCCAACTCTCAACGCCTATTCGATCCTGGGGTCGTCCTCTTCTCTGGACAACTCGATCTTGGGCTCATCCATCATCTTGGATGACTCGGCTCCCCTTGGGTAATTTGGCAACACTTCTGGCACCTTAAGTCAGCGCCCCCTCGTTTGCTTGACTCTTACCCTCGGCTTAGCATCTTTGACACTCGAACTTGTGCCAAGACTGCACACATCTTCCCCATACTCACCATCTGGTTCATCATTGAGTGGACTTTCTCTGCCACTCGAGGAACAACATTCATCATCTTTTGACTTGCCTTCATCATGGATTCGCTTGCCACTACCCTCGGCTTTCGGCTTTGTTTTGGAAGTCTTGTTTTTCTTTACTCCAAATTCTTTGATAGACTCAGCGGTTGTCAAGGCTTTAGATAACTCATTGACTTCTCTTCGCTCGAACACTCTCTTTTCCCATGGCTTCAATCCGAACATGAAGGTGAAGAATCCATATTCTTCAGTCAAACTTGGGACTTTGAGCATGAGTTTTATGAATCGACTCACATATTCTTAAGTGTCCATTTATGCATGAGACGCCTCAACTTGGACCACGCCTCCATCCTGGCATACTGTGAGCAGACTTGCTCACTTTGCACCTCGGCTTGACAGCTTTATCTCTTGTTATCGCATTGGGTCCTTTCTTGTGCTCGACTACTTTGACAACTGCAGTCTCTTCACGTTTTCTTTTGGGTTCGGCTACTTCAACATCAACATCCTTGCCTCGTCTCGATCCTTGCTTGGCCACATTGATCCCCTTCAATCAGACCAAGTCTTTTTCCTGGATTGGTAGCTTTAACACTTGTAACCGCGCCAATTTCTGCTACTTCTCCTTCCCCTCATCTTCATGATAGTTGTAGGCGACGCTTCACGGGACATCCTCTAATCAAATGAGGACCATCACAGAAGTATCACTTAAGCTTTTCCTTGCTCATTTCTTCTTCACCCGGACTTAGCCTTGTCATTCTTTCCCGATGGCATTCCTTGGCTACGATCAGGCGATGACTCTCCTTGTCCATTCGAAGAGCTTTCTCTATCATCTCCATGCTGCACCTTTTCTTGGTCTCCACCATTGTTGCCACTGTCTCTTGGCATGGGCTTGGACGACACATCGCTACTTGGCTTGTCACCTGCAAGCTCAGTCAGCTTTCCAGCTACAGCTATGGCCTCTGAAAGTCTCTAAGCATCACTTTGCTCTCCCCCGAGCATCGCCCCTGGTCTAAGTCCTTCAAAGAAGATGTTGAGCGCATCCAATTCACTTATTGTTCCCTTGCATATGAGCAGCTCCCTCTTGAGCTCATCAACTTCTTTTCTCAAAGCCATCGCTCCCACTCGAATCTGGCTTCTTTGAATCGTTTCTGACAAATTCTTGCGAACCATCGTGTATTAGAACACCTCCGTCGACAAATTTGTATCACCGACCAAATTTTACTATTCACAAAATTCACTATTCATATGAATAGTAACCTCGCAAAAAAATTGACAAAATTCACAACCAAAATCTCTGATACTAGTTGTTGGAAAATAAACGAGTAATTTCCCTATAACCGGATTAGTGAGAATGTGAAATACAAGCGGAAAAATATTATCCGAAATTGATAATGGAGTTCAGCGAATTATGCCTACGTCTCCGGACTGCTGCAGATCTTTTACCAAAGAGAGAAAATTTATAGGTGTTTACAAAACACTCATAACTCACACGAAAACTCTCTAAACTCTTTAGTAATGGGAGAAAGAAAATGATTTGGGATGATTTTGAAGTTAAATGAGTTAGGGTATTTATAGTTGAAGCTTAAGAACTAATCTTATAAATACCCTAAAGTCTAGTGACTAATTGCAAAATTTACCCTTCTCACTTTCAAATATAACTGCACCGAAAATTAACAATTTATGTGCATTAATTTGCACTTTCGGTGCAACCCCTTTCTATGACTTGTGCAGCCCCTTTTTATGACTTTTAACGAAACAAAAACTGTCTATTCAGGTTGCTGACTTCTATAGTGTCCATGTCAATCTACAAGCAAATGTTTAAATGCATGAATAAATAATTTCCAAAAAATAAAAATCAGTTCAAACCCACACCACCTTGACCTCAAAACAAATGAAACAAACAATTTTACATTCATCAAATCAATAACTTACTATAAGCACTTTACACCATCTTAAAACTATGCATCCAACTTTTGCATCTTTGCAAACAATCCCATTGCTAGACAACCCTATATAATCACATATTCACACCACAGTAAAAATCAAGCATTAGCATAACTACCAATCAGGGGTGGATGAACTAAGCTCCCATATTGGCCAAGTGCGTCCCCATTATTTTGGAAAAATGGTTAAATTTAGCTTAATGTATTAAGGGAAAAAAATTTGCATACCCATTATTTTTAAAAAAAGAAAATTAAAATTTTGGACTTCATTCTTAAATTTATAGATCCCACGGCTACCAATCAAGTCAAACTAAGGGCAACACCAATACACCATACTCCAGCATTCATATTTACCATCACTATGAGCTTCTCTATTTCCAGCAATTCAGACATTATGCTTTCCCAAAGTTAAGACCTCCATGCTACCATAATTCCCAGTCCTATAACACGAAACAAAGCATCATAAGTTCCACCTTGTGTGCCACTACCACCACTACAAATCAATATTCCATTGTTAAACTAACTGTGCCAATTCCTTCTATAAATACCAAATATACCAAAGACTAAAGAAAAATTCGGACCATGAAAATCAAAGAATCCCTCGTTAACTTTACCAGAAACTAATGTATGCAACAAAAAAACTATATAATCACCTCAAGTCATTTTACTATAATATTTTACAACATATTTTAAAAGCTTTTAAAACTTAGAAATATATATATATCGAATACTTTTGAGGATTAATATATCTTTAAATGTTTGAAAATAATTTTAAAGTTTTTAAACATATGAATAATATTATGTGAAGAATATTTTAAGAAGGTTATAACATCTATTCAAGTTCCAGGATTAAGAGAACTTCATTGAATATCGAATCACGATTATGTTAAAAGTTTTTAATTTTATTTAAGTTTCTACCAATTTTCTTAAAATTCAATTTAGTCCCTTTTTAATGATTTTTAATTAATCAATCGATCTCATAATTAATATCAAATCTCGTCTCCATTGAAAATTTCACAATTAGGAGTAGAGATTATAAAACTCAAAGTTTACTGATTCAAGAGAAATGATTATCAAGTTTACATTTAGAAATTTGGATTCTTTAAATTAAATTAAGATATGATCAATGATTTAAACTGCGATTATAACTATTTTTCTTATAGAATTATGCTTACTACACTCGTGGACATAATAAATATTATTACAATTATTATGAATATTCCGATCTAAAATATATTTCTTTTATCTTATTTTATTTTTTATTGAAAGAATTATTTTACTTTTAAATTTTATCTTCATAGAATAATAACAAAAATAATAACTCACTATTGTTGCAATTGGTTGTTACTCAATGAATTATGGTCGCGATATGTTGTTATTAATGTAATTCTATTTCATATTACTATTTTTTACAATACTAATTGCGAACAATATTATTATCATTATATAACAACCGTTATTTTATTATTTAATCTTTATTTAAATTCTAAAATACATCTTCCGCAACACTGAATGTGGAAAAGAATATTGTATAAAATAAACTTAATATAAAAATAAGTATCCAAACTATACATTTTTCTCATGTGCCAAATTGTTTTTATCAGTTTAGGTGGCTAACGTTTTTAGTATTATTATTTAGCTGCATTGATCGTAACAAACGTTAAAATAGTGTTATTATAAGAAAAATATTATTTAAAAAACCTCAAAAATTATTAATATTTTAAAAAGTCAAAATATTTCTAAAATCTCAAAATCTTTAATCTCAAAATCTTTTAATCTCAAAGCATCCACCACACCAGTTAACTGTCCACCACCACTATCGTCTTCACTGATTGTGTTCCCACACGTCATCAACTAGCTATTCATTTCTGACTGTCAATCGTAACTTCAAAATCCATAAAATACAAATCTCAAAATCTAAACCCTAAATTCTAACTCTATACATCTTAATATGCATGTGAATAGTGAAAAGATGATTAGCAGGTGATTTGGCGGTCATAGTTGGTGATGGTGGATGATAAGTGAATTGGGAGTTTTGAAATATTTTATAAACGTAGAAAAAAGTTTGAGGTCTTTTTGAAAATTAATGAATTTATTTTTTGAAATTTAAAGAAGAAACAATCAAGTCATCTGTCAAATAATATTAAAAATATTAGATAATTAATCAAAAGAAAATTTAGACATTTATTTAAATGAGGAAAAAGATATAATTTATACTTTTATTTACCGGGAAAAGTTTAATACCCGCGGCCTCACTATACGCTGCATTCGTATTGGTCAATGTCACAATGTTCTGGTCCAACAAAACAATATCTAATTAGACCACGCCATTTGTACACACTCACACCTCAAAATATCCGAGCGTGATATACACAAGCATTCCCGAATTGTTTTTCTCGTTGTACAACCCAAAAAGTCCTCAAAAATCAAAAGTAAAGACGAGGCTTTACTCTGCTACTCTTACACATTCAAACTCGCTCAGCTGTTCGATCGAAGAAAGAAAAAGATTGTAACGGAGAGGTAGTGTGATTTTTTTATCTCTTCAATTGGAGCAGGGAAGAAAATGTGAGTTTTTTAGTTTCATTATTCTCTATTTTGGCCTATTTTAGGGTTCGAAACTTCCATTTTATAGTTTCAATTACTGTTCATGTTGTCATTATAATTCCTCTTATTTTCCCTCTTTTCTTTTCCCCCCTAATTAGCTGCACCATTTGATTGAATGGAGCCTCCCCTGCCGGTTTTGCCAACAAATTACGGAATCTCAAACGGTAATTACATTTTCATTTTTAATTGCCAAGGTTTGCCTTACATTTTAAGCTTTTGGTATACAGTCTGCTTTTTTCCGTTTAAATTTTGATTTTTTCCCAATCTTTTAATCTGTTTGCAGGGAATATTAACTTGCCTTTTGATTTTGTTATTTATTTTATTTGTGATTGTATGAGCGGATACAATATAAATTTCAGAAAAAATGTATTAATATTGATTTCTTTGATTTTTCTTGGATTTTGTTTTAGGTTTTCCCTTGTCATAATGTTATTTTCCTTCTTTATGATTGTTTACAGAATTCTGTTCTACAGGTTGTAAACGGACAAAATTATCTAGTGATTCAAAAGATTATGACAGCACCTTCTCTGCTGCAAGTTTTCAAGATGATGATGAAAAGAAGAAACTTAAGGGCTCAGCAAATGTTATTGATTATAGCGACCCATTTGCATATGCTAAAATGCTTGAAACTTTTAATTCTGGTGGTAAATATGGAAGTGTTACGAAAGATTTCGAAGCTCTTATTACTAGAAATACACAATTGGTAAGCAAGCTACTTGATTTGCATCCTTCTCTTTCAAGTTTGGTCGCAAATGTGGAAAAAACTCCAAGGAAAGAGGCTTCAAAGCTGCCAAGCCGACAACTTTCGCATTTGTCACGGAATAATTTTATCGATTTGGAGGATGACTCTGTTGGAAATGACACCACAACATCATCGTCACCGGTAGTGATTCTGGATTCAGATGATGAAGTCAATAGAAATCCAAGGCCTCTACATCCCGTTCAGGAAATTGTATTGAGGAAGCCATCCGGGAATTTAATATATAAGGAGATAATGGTATGTTCTTCTGCATATTTAGATTTTGAGTAGTGTGTCTGAGAATGAAGGTAGAGTATAAAAGTCAACGCGAGGATAAAGAGCATGAGCATTGAACTTTGTCCCACATTAATTGTATAAGATAATTTTAGAAAAAAAATTGGTTCCACATTTTCATTGATCAAAATCATGTAAACAATAATCTCACAGTTCCGTTATGTATGATTTCCTACTCTTATAATTTATTTTCACTTGCATTTAATCGGAAAAAAAAGGAAGAAGACTGCATTAAGATATTCATACTTTCATAGTAGCTATAGGCTCTGAAGTTTCTCTCCAGGCCTTTTTAACTTTTAAATAAGAGTTTTAATCATTTCAACATCCATGGAGTCTTGCAACTATTGCTACCATATAAAAAAATAAGATGATATTTTGTATTTGCAATGTATTTGTGAGAAAGATTAAGTTGCTTAAGTCTTTTCAACTCATGACAGCAATGGAACTTTCTTCCTATTCCTCATCACAAACAGCATGGTTGAGATGAAGCAAAATGAATAAAGTTTAAGAACTTGTTTCTATTGTTTTTTGCATCACTTGTTCAGGATGCTATAAGGGCAAATGGATTATGCAGGGGGAACTTTTTAGTTTTGTTGTTGATTTAGATGCAGTAGATGCTATGTCATGGTGAGAAACTAAATCAATTCCATTTAAATCCAATTCGTGAATAAAAAAAGTATGAATATAATGAAACAATGAAGCTGTAGAACCTCAATTGACCCTGTACAAACTATATTTTTTCAAAGAAAATTGATCTGCTACTAAGTGATGCATGATTATGTTTTTATACACATTCAACTTTCCCTTAAACTTTTTTTTCTGGTTTCATGTCAATCCAGTCTGAGGCATGATAACTGTAATTGTCACATTAATGGTTTGTTATGGGAATTTAGAATCTTTAATTATTACAATCTCTCTTTATGTGTATTTAAGTGAATTTTGTGTACGATGGTACGCTTCTAGCTCTAAATTGTATGTTTACTTTTCTTAATATATATTTTTTAATCCAATGATTGGTGTTACTGATGTATTTCAGGTTGGAGAGCCTAAATTGTTTCAGGTTGGGGAGTCTATGGGAACCCGACCTTACAGGAAAGAAAAGATTAGCCTAACCAGTGAAATTGATGTCAAGAAGGATAAAGGTGTTTATGTTGGTGTTGAAGATGATGTTGATACTCAAACTGAGAATGAAGATGATGGTTTGGGAGACATTTGGCAGGAGATGTCAATGGCATTAGAGTTCTCAAAGGTATTTTACTATGCTTTAAAATGTAGCTGGTGGATATTCTTTGTCTTCATTATTATTTATTTACTTTCTTTTTGAAAAAGCAGCTCAAGTGCCTTTTTCAGAAGTAGATTGCGTCTAGATGTTGCCAAGTCCTTTTTTCCTTCTCTGTTTGCTCTCTATTGAGTTAACAATTGTGCAAACTTCGGATCTTGCTGTTTTTTTTAAAGCTATAGAGACAACTAAGTGCTCTTTTTTTTTCATTTTTTTGAGAAAACTGTTGTTACTTTGGTCTCATTATGACCATATTGGGACCATTTAGGTTGAGCAAGGTGCGGTAGAAAAAAAAATGCCGAGCAAAACATGTAAGATTGAAGATTTTAGAAGTAGATAATTTTGCTCGGTAAAATTAGTTCATTATTTAATTTAACTCACGATTGACATTGTTTATTAGCACAAATAGACATTAAAAACTGTTTGTTTTTCATATTTTTCCTTCAAATTATTTCCCTTTTTAAGTTACACATGTTCTGAGTCTAACATCTTGTTCTCGTTCTTTGTGGTGTAAATGTCATTACTATTCTGGTTGTGGCAATAGGAAACAACTCCTTCGGCTGCTTCTATTATTTTTTGTCAGATTTTGAATTTTTTACATTCTTCTCATTGCCATGGAAGGATGTGAAAAATATTGTTTTATACACTGTTCTGATTCTAAATATCTTGTTCTCTGTGGTGTAAAATAATCACTCTTTCTGGTTGTAGCAATAAGAAACAACTCCTGTTGCTTCCATTATTTTGGGTCATATTTTTTGAATCGACCACATGCTTCTCACCATCACTGAAGAATAAGGAAAATCTTGTTTTATATACTGTAATCCAGGGATTTAAATTGTGGTTGTGGCCGTGTTTTTGGTCGCCTTGAGTTTACCGTGGTTGCAACATAACGAATGCTATTTCGGTCACTACGGGTATCGCGGTTGTGAATTTTTTTGAATTCTCACAACTTATTGTAAAACATAATGTTATAATTATAAAATGTCACTTTTAATGATTTTTAGAGTGCTTTCTAACACTTATGAACTTTATTAATATGAGAACACAACTTTTACAATCATTAATTATTCTTATATTTATTTACGAATTTTCTAAGAATATTATATTAACTAATAAAAAAAGTAAAAAAATAGGAAATATTAAACATTCATCATATTTAATAAGTTTGAGAGTTTTTATAGATAAAATAATTAAAATTAATACATGAGAGAGGTCTTCAATATTTCTCGACAGTTTTGAAGATGAAGATATCAAACCATTATATGCTGCAAAAGGAAAAAAGGAATAGATAAATGTATAGATTCTCATTAATTATTCCTATTTTCTACCACTTATTCTCACTCTCATTCAGCTTCCGTATAGAGTTTAACATGCTTCAATTCTCAATTATCTTTCTTTTTTTTTAATTTCACCGTAACGGAACAATAACGGGACTAGTGGCCTGTTATTGCCGCAATTGGTTGTTACCCGATAAATTGTGTCCGTGATCTACTGCTATTGGTGTGATTCCGCTTCACACAGCTATTTTCAGCAGTAGCGGTTTCGGACGGTGCCACTAACGCCATAGAGCAATCGCTATTCCGCTACCCGACAACTATTTAAATCCCTGCTGTGATCAATTAAATTGTTATAATTATTGAACTGTTGGCAACTATTATCCCCTAGAAAGAATGTGCTATATTTATGATGCTTTTGGCAGGATGCATTTGAGGACCCTTCCTGTGAACGCATGTCAGAAGATGATGAAGACTGCGATCATTCTTTTGTCTTGAAGGATGATCTTGGTTATGTGTGTAGAATTTGTGGGGTTATCGAGAGAGGAATTGAGACTATAATTGACATCCAATATAACAAGGTAAGTGAAGCTTATCCTATTGAGCATTATGATCGTCCTACATTATGTTACAAATTAGGTTTTTAAATATCTGTGATTTCATTCTAGATTTTATATTCTGTCGAAATTGAAGTGGATTTTAATGTAGTTTGCACCAGTATTAAACGTGAGGGATCTTTGAAGCTTTTCCAAAAATGAATGGCTTGCTTATAGATTTCTTTGGCTGAGATAATGTATTTTAGTATCAAAGCCAGTCTGTTGCAGGGATCTTTACCCACGGTACACTTGGTAGACCTGCTAATATAAGGTCAATTTGTGTCTAATAGATGCGGTGGATAATAAGGTTAAACTCTGGTATTTTGATTCTGCTGTCTCATGTGGAGGTGCCTTGTGTTGCCTCGTCTAATTTTGTTTTATCAGTTGAAATTCAAATTTGGATCAATTTCTTGGTGTTAAGATAGTGTTGTTATATGTATTAAAGAACACAAGCTCTAGGCTTTTCTCCACTTTATATTCAGGTTTGGTTAAATCCAACTAGTAGGACTTATCAGCTAGTCCCTGCCTGAAAACTTCGTTTTCTGAAGTTTTCCCCTTTACCTATGCAGGCCAAAAAGAGTACACATAATTATTCATTAGATGCACGAAATGGCAAAAATAGAGAGTCAATTGAAACAGGAGTTAAATTTTCTGAAGATGATTTAGCAGTAACTGACATAACTGCTCATCCAAGGCATATGAAGCAAATGAAACCTCATCAAGTAGAAGGCTTTAGTTTTCTTCTGAGCAATTTGGTGGCAGATAACCCTGGGGGCTGCATCCTGGCGCATGCTCCTGGATCTGGAAAAACATTCATGATAATAAGCTTCATGCAAAGTTTCCTAGCCAAATACCCACATGCTAAACCGCTAGTTGTGCTTCCAAAGGGCATCTTGGCTACATGGAAAAAAGAGTTTGAGACATGGCAAGTAGAGGATATTCCACTGCTCGATTTTTATACTGTGAAAGCAGATAATAGATATCAGCAATTGGAAGTTTTGAAGAAGTGGGTTGAATGCAAGAGTATCCTTTTTCTGGGATACAAGCAGTTCTCTACCATAATTTGTGAAGGTGGAACCAACCAAACTTCTAAATCTTGCCAAGAGATACTGCTCAGAGCACCTTCAATTTTAATTTTGGATGAAGGCCACACACCAAGGAATGAGAACACTGATGTGTTGCAATCCCTTGCAAAAGTGCAAACAGCTCGAAAAGTGGTACTTTCAGGGACTCTTTATCAAAATCACGTCAAAGAGGTATTTAACATATTGAACCTTGTTCGACCAAAGTTTCTTAGGTTGGATACTTCAAAATCAGTAATTAAGCGGATAATGAGCAAGGTGCATATAGCTGGAGTGAAGAAGCAGTTAAAAGGTGGAGCTGATGCAGCTTTTTATGACTTGGTGGAGCACACACTGCAGAAAGATGAAAATTTTGAGAGGAAAGTCTCCGTCATCCATGATCTACGTGAGATGACCAGCAAAGTCCTTCATTATTATAAAGGTGATTTCTTGGATGAGCTTCCTGGACTAGTGGATTTCACTATTGTGCTCAGTCTTAGTCCTAGACAGAAGGATGAAGTCCATAAGTTAACTAGGTCTGAAAAAAGGAGGTTCAAGATTTCATCTGTTGGCAGTGCTGTTTATCTTCATCCAAAACTAAATTCTTTCTCTGAGAATTCTGAGATGACAGACGATAAGATGGATGACTTGTTAGACAAAGTAGATGTCAAAGAGGGAGTCAAAGCAAAATTTTTTCTGAACATGTTAAATTTATGTGAATCAGCTGGTGAGAAACTCCTTGTTTTCAGTCAGTATCTCATTCCCTTGAAATTTTTAGAGAGATTGTCTGTGAAAATGAAGGGTTGGCAACCAGGAATTCAGGTTTTCTCAATCACGGGTGAATCGAGTTCTGATCACCGGGAGTGGTCTATGGATCGCTTCAACAATTCTCCTGATGCAAAAGTTTTCTTTGGATCTATTAAGGCATGTGGAGAGGGAATTTCTTTGGTTGGGGCATCCCGAATTATCATCTTGGATGTCCATCTTAATCCGTCTGTGACCCGCCAAGCAATAGGTCGTGCATTTCGCCCTGGCCAAAAGAAGAAAGTGTATGCGTATAGATTGATTGCGGGGGATTCCCCTGAAGAGGAGGATCATAGTACTTGTTTCAAGAAGGAATTAATTGCAAAAATGTGGTTTGAGTGGAACAAGTATTGTGGCAACCGAGATTTTGATATGGAAACTGTTGATTTGAATGAGTGCAATGATCTCTTTTTGGAAAGTCAGTTGTTAAGGGAAGATATCAGGGATCTCTACAGAAGGTGAGTCTGTTTATCCAACAACATTCTCATTTATTTTATCAAGTTCTTGCATTCCAACTTCTATTTTCCCTATATTTCAGGTAGATGTTGGGACCATGGGCGGAGGCTGCTATGGGAACTAGAAGAGTATTGGGCTGTTTCTTTGTTGTGCACATGTAATTTCTCACTTCTTTTTGTAGTCATTCTGATATGTTTCCTGGTTTGTTGTAAACTTTTGAAAGCAATGTAGTAGCTGGTGGTTGTCAATTGCTTGCTATAAAAATGACCTTTTTGACTGTTGGTGGTGACTTTCCCCTTCCTTGGATCTGTAATGTAGGGAGAAATCAAGTAGACGCTTACTATTTAGTACATAGTAGGTGAAGTTTGTCTGCTGGGGTTGGAATGGGTTTAAGCTGCAAGTCTTCCTGAATCTGCTCTTACACACATTTGATGTAGGCATGTGCATGTTTCTTCAAATTTTAACTAGATGACATATGTAAATTCTACATTGAAAATTATGTGTTTAATTCCACAGAATCTTATAAGGTGTAAAATTTATGGATGAAAATTTCGAGTTTTGGGTTGGATTGTGTTTGACATTTTTCATGCAACAAGTCACTCAATTATTAGTCAAATTACAAATGGGTTATTTTCTTTCTAAAAATTATAATTTAGTCATTTAATTAAAATATTGTTATAAACAGATCATTTGATCATTAAATATTAGATATAATAGTTTAGTGGTCTAGTATAATAATGATAATTTTAGCACTCGAAGTTTTTTCATTCTGTCAATTCATGCTTAATTCAAAATTTAGTCTTCTTCTCCAAAATTTCTTGGCCTTTAACGTTCATCATCATCCCTACTTGAGTACCCTTGTTAACACTAGAGTACTTCTTTCGAAATCATTAATTAATCTAATGAAAAATTTATAAATACAATGATATTTATAGTTAATTTTTTTAATGTTATATCTTTTATTAGCATAAGTACTAATTTGATAATAAAAGAGGTTAAATTCATTGAATTATAATCTAATTAATAGAGTATACAAGTTTTTAGGACTAAAGTTATTATATCAACGCATATAACTATTCTGTCTAATTTGTATGGCTCGATAATATAATAATATTTTAATTGAATAATTAAATTGTATTTTTTTTAAAAAAAAATATGACCTATTTATAACATAATAACTAAATGAGCACGAACAAGTAACTTCAATAGTTAAGGGTTGATTGTTGTACTTAGAGATTACGGATTCGAGCATGTCATCTATTTGATAGTGTTCATTGTTATATGATTGAGTCTATCTCGAACCTATATTACCTTGTAGCTAGTAAAAATAATAATAATAATAATAATCGAATGACTTGGAATGTAGTTATAACTTCTTTTAAACTTGCCAACTGACTTAACGTTTTCAACAAGATAAAGAACAGTGTTTCTTGATCGTGCCTTGCAACATATGAAAAGAAAAAAACGAAGTTTGTCTTCCTTTCCACTTTAAATTTCAGCAACTCCTCCATCATCTTCATTCTATTCTAGTGTAAAAGAAATGGATACAAAGAGAAAACCCAGCGTTGTTTCCAATGCCCATGATAACCAAGTCTCCTCTGCCAAGTCCGTCTTCTCGGCTTCCGCATCAGTTGCCGCCACCGCCATATTGGCTCGATCAATTGCCCAAGAATTCATCCCTTCAGAGCTCCGAGACTACATATTCTTCCAAATCAAGAACCTCCTCCTCTCTTTCAGTCCATACACCACCTTAGTCATCGAAGAATTCGACGGCCTCAACGATAACTTCCTTTACAAGGCAGCACAACTCTATCTCGAGCCCACAATCCCTCCCGAAACCAAGAGGATCAGACTAACCATGCCAAAGAAGCAAGGCAAGATTTCATTTTCGCTCGAAAACAGCGAACAAATCATCGACGACTTCAATGGGATTCGAGTGAAATGGAAGTTTGTGTCCAAAAACTTCCCTTCCAAAAACATCCCACCCCATGATCCCTACAACCCTCCGTTGCTCACCTGCGAGACTCGGTGCTTCAAGCTAAGCTTCCACAAGAAACACAAAGAAACGATCTTGAACAGCTACATGCAGCACATAATGGCCAAATCGAAAGAATTGAAGGAGAAAAAGAAGACCCTGAGGTTATTTACGTTGAAATCCGATAGGGTTTATGGGAGGAGAGGGGATATGTGGCAGTCACTGAATCTTGATCACCCATCCACTTTTCAGACCCTGGCAATGGATTCTGATCTGAAGAAGAAGTTGATAGAGGATTTGGACAGATTCATGAGAAGAAAAGAGTACTACAAGAGTGTAGGCAAGGCTTGGAAAAGAGGGTATTTGTTGTTTGGTCCACCTGGTACAGGCAAGTCCAGCTTGGTCGCTGCCATGGCCAATTATCTCAACTTTGATATATATGACTTGGAGTTGTCTGAAATCAGAGACAACTCTGAGCTGAGAAAGTTGCTGATTTCAACCGGGAATAAATCAATACTCGTTGTGGAAGATCTTGACTGTTCATTGGATTTGCATAGGCTTCCTCAATCCAGGCCTGTGTTGCCTCATCGACCTAATCACTCATCTCATATGACACTGTCGGGATTGCTCAACTTCGTCGACGGTTTATGGTCGAGCTGTGGGGATGAAAGGATCATCGTGTTCACAACGAACCACAAGGAGCGGCTCGACCCGGCTCTGCTACGCCCCGGTCGAATCGATGTGCAGATCCACATGTCCTATATAACTCCATGTGGGTTCAGAATGTTGGCTTACAACTACCTCGGGATAACAGAGCACCCACAGTTCATGGAGATCGAGGAATTGCTGAAGAATAAGAAGGTGACGCCCGCAGAAGTGGGTGAGACGTTGATGAAAGAGGAGGATATTGAAGAAGCGTTACAGGGTCTGATTCAGTTTCTTGAAACCAAGATAAGCGATGGCCGAGAATATACAGCAGGTGATGTGCAACCGGAACAAGTGCAAGCAGTAGATGAAGAAGAAGAAGAGCTGATGATAGAAACGGCGGGAACCTTGGTCGACATGATTCATTTAAGTTGCTGAGGAAAGGCAACTGTGGAACAGTGAAGACTAATAAAGAAAGATGTGCAAACACTGGTTTGCATGATGGAATTTGGTTTAGTATGATAGCTTAGCTTGTTAATCTGCAAAAAAAAAAAAAAACAACTTTGGGTTTATTTGTTTCATACTTCTGAGCACATGTGAATGTTTTGTTTTAGGTTTCCAAATATCGATCATTACGAAAAAAGGACAGATTATCACACACACAAGAATAGGATGCATAAATATAAAGCTGATTTGAAAAAAAAACCTTACCGAAATCAACAGTTTATTCAACTACATAATAAATAACAAGGTTGTTCATCAATTGGGTACTCTGCTCTTCTGGTAGTTAAAATTATTGTTCGTCCTCAATATCAAATACTCTCTATTTGAGTATTCCTAAAAATCGAATAGTCACATTTTATAAATAGTCGTTTCATATTTATATTGTTATTCTTCAGAAGGTTAACTACGTAATGTTTTATTTTATTATTGATTTTAAAATATTTTCGTTTTTATTTAACTAAAATATGGTCACCGCGAGTTAACCATCGCTTACAATTAACACATTAGGTGATGTGACAGATAAATATTTCAATATAATCACGTTTAGTCATATTCTCTCAATTTAGTCATATTTTAATAAATTAAATAAATTTAATCATCCAATCGAATGATTTCTCGTGTCATCGGTACCATGTTTCGTGTCATGTGTCACGATTCAGTTTGAGGACTAACTTTATTTTAATTTGTTTTAATTTACTATATCTATTTTCTACCAATCAAAATATGACATGTGTCACATTGTCGTTGAAAGAAAACAAATCAAATCAAATTGAGGCCAAAGGATTCAAATGTGGGTCATTTAGAAACCAAACATGTATCCAATCATTAAGTCAAGACCAACACTTAGTCTAAAATAGACACCATGATGTAGATATTTTATAAATTAGTGTATAAATACTTAAATTAAATTCATAATATTATATATATTTTAACATTACTAAATATATTTTATTATTAACTTAATATAAAAATATTTTATTTATTTTAAAAATATATTTTATGTTAAAATGTTTTTAAGTTAAGATAAGAATAAAAATATATTTAATAATTTAAAATAATAATATAATATATTAATAAATTTAAATAAATATATATTCTGGAAAGTTAGAATAATAATAATATAATTTTAAAAGTTTATATGAGAACAAAATATATATTTTAAATAAAAATAAAATATTTTTAAATTAAGTTAATAAAAAAATATTTAATAATTTAATATAAAAATATTTTAAAAGTTAATATATAAAAATATATGAATTTAAAATTAAGTATTTATATACTAAGATACAAATATATATATATATCATGTTGTCTATATTAGGTCAAGCATTGATTTTGGCTCAATGGTTAGGTATATGCTTAGTTTTCCAAGAGACTTAAGTTTGAATTCTTTTAGGGTCTGTTTGTTTAGCTGTAATTGGTTTTCCAGAAAATGAATTACTGGAATTTGAATTACTGGAATTTGAATTACTGGAAAATGAATTACTGGAATTTGAATTCTGGAAAATGAATTACATTTCTGTAAAATGAATTACATTTCTGGATAATGAATTACATTTCTGGAAAACATCTGGAAAACGTTTTATGATGTTTGGAAGATGTTATTTAAACATTTTTTCGGTATATTTTAGTGAAATAAATTTTATAAATTATATTAATTATTTATTAAAGTAATAGTACTATATTATATTTTAAAAATATTAATTAGTATATTTTAATATCTTTACTAAAATATTATTGAAATATATAAATAATATTATTCATTATTAAATATAAAAAAAATTATTATATATTATTAAAATAAAAATATAATATCTTATATTATTATAATATAATTGGTTATTTTATATAATATTAAAAATATAATATTATATTATTATAAATATTAATAAATATATTTTAAATATTTTAATAATTAATATTTTGATGAAAATGATATTAAAATATTTTATTAATATTAAATTCATAAAATAAAATTATTTTGAGTATTTTTGCTTTGAAGTGAAAAGTTCGGAAAATGACTTACGGAAAATGAATCCGTAAGTCATTTTACAGAAAACACAAAGGAAATTCTGTTACTAGGAAAATGAATTACATTCCGGAAAACGAATTACGTGAAACAAACACGGGAAAACGTTTTCCGGAAAACGAATTACGTGGAACAAACACGGGAAAACATTTTCCGGAAAACGAATTACGTGAAACAAACACGGGAATTCGGGGAAAACCAATTCCGTAATTCCAATTACGGGAAACAAACAGTTAGTTCTAATTTGCTTTGTTGTGTTTTCTTTCAACAAGAGGGTGACACGTGTCATTCTCTAATTGGTGGAAAATAAATATATTAAATTAAAATAAAGTTAGTCCTGACACGTGGCACTAGTCACATGTGATTTATTTTAATTTATTAAAAGTATGACTAAATTTTGAGAATTTATACATAATTGGGACTGAATGTGTGATTGTACCAAAATATTTAACTGTCACGTTACCTAATATGTTAACTGTTACTGACGGTTAACATTTGGTGACCACATCTCAATTAAATATAAATAAAATTGATCATATTTTAATTAAATAAAAACAAAAGTGAACATATATTATATTTTTTTCGAAATTAGGAAAAGTTCACAGAACACAAACATAAGTGATCAATACGTAGTTAACCCATTTTCAAATTATATTATTCTTAAAAATATTCACATAAAAAATGGTACATAATCCAAACATATAATTTAAAAATTTAAGTTATTTACACAAACCAAACTATCTTAGTAGTTATATGGATGGTGGTTGTTATACCTAGAGGTAGAGGTGTGTAAAAAAATATGATTCGATCGATTTGATCTGTTGATATGTTAATCCAATCCATCTTTTTATTTTTGGATGATTCAAATTGAATATCCAAAAAAAATCATATAATCATATTGGATACAAATAGAGTAAATTTTAATTTTAGATTATCCGAAAATCTAATAAAAAAGTGGGCCTTTAAAAATTTTACCTAGACCCAAACAACCAGGCCACTGCTAGTCTGAAATGCCCAATTCCACGAACTAAGATAAAAAAAAAGTGGGCCTTTAAAATTATGTTTTTTTTTTCAATTTTAGATTATTTTTTAAAATAATTTTAATTTTATTACCCAATGCTGCTATATAAAAAATCTCATCATTTGGTTTTCAGACTCAAACATATTTTGATAAATATTTATTGGAGAGTATAGAATATATTGTTTAAAGTTATAAAATATTAATTATTTATTTTAAATTATTTAATTTTTAAATTATTTATTTTTTAAATTATTTATTTTTAAGCCTATAAACGAGATATTAAATATTTATTTTAAAACCATTTCGATATATTTTTTATAAATATATAATGGATGTATAAAATATATTGTATAAAATTATAAATATTAAATTTATAATTAACTTTTTATTAAATTAAAGTTTATATTCTTATATCCAGAAATTTAGATATCCGGTTTTTTTGGATCAGATACGGATCACAATTTTAGTGATCGAAAATTTTTGGATATCCGAAATTTTAGATTGGATAATATTTGTATCCGAAAATGTACACCCCTACTTAGAGGTTTTTGTTCGAGCGCTATCAACTGCAAGATATTTAAATAAAAAATGATTAAGAGTCTTTGAAACATGTAATCGTCCTATATTAAAAAAAAAAAGAAATTCTGATTATTTAATCCAAAGGTAAAACTTAAAAGTTCAAAAAACAAAAATACTCCATGGTATCTCCATCAGATTTATAAGAAAAAAATGAATATTTATTTATTTTGTTTCTTTTATCTTTACAAAGACTAAGGGTCAGTTTGATAGAAATTTTGAAAAGTGATTATTAAAAGTACAGTATAAAATATTTTTTAAAAGTGTTATTTAAAAGTCCAATTTAAAAATTAACTATTTATGATTGTTGTTAAAAAATAAGTTTAAAAAGATAAAATGTTCATTATAGACATTATATTGTAAATTTAAAATTTAAATTATATTTACACTTATTAATACAATTGTATATAAAATATATCAACTTAAACTATAATAAAAATATGAAAAATAGTTTAAGATAACCCATTAACAATATTTTTATAAATTAAATATTTTATTAAAAAATATTATCAATACTTTTTAACATGTGAATATACAAATATACGAAATAATAATTTAAATATTTGTTTTGACAAAAAGAATATTACAAAAAATTACATTAGTGCTTGCAAATTAAAGTGAATTTTAATATAAAAACTATTAATTTTATTTAATTTTAAGTAATTAAAATAAATTATTAAGTGTTGAGTTAATCAATCGACGAAATCGGCCAAGAGGGGGGGTGAATTGGCAATTAAAAATTTCATGGAAGCTTTTGCAGAAAATTGAAAGTAATTGCACAGCGATTTACAGTTGTTCGACTTTCTCAAACAAAGTCTACGTCCACTACCTTAGCTATCCACACTAAGGATTTTCCAACAAATTCACTAATTTGTTCTTTCTTTTGAGGCCAAAGAGATAACCTTACAAATCCCTCAAGAGTATACCCCAACTCTTGAGAACACTCTTTTTCCCAAAGAGAAGATTACAAATTTGCAAACTTACAAGAAAACCTCACAAGGTAAGATGTTTGCACAATTCTAGAACAAGAAAAGAACACTTAAAGATAATTACAAATGAGCACAAATGGTGTTCTTGAAATCAAAATGAATATTGAAAGGAAAATTGGCTTGATTTGCACAAACTTGGTGTTTGATGCTTTCTCTCTTGTTTCTCTATGATTTCTTGTTGATCAAGGGCTTCATAACTTGTTTAAATACACCTTGAATCACTTCTGAACGTTGGGAATGATTAGTGAAGATCATATAGCCGTTTTAGTGTGAAAACAATTAATAAAACAGTTTGGAGCGTGGGGGGAATCGGTACCCC